CTCTTACCCTTCACACTATGCTGTGAACCCGACAGACAGTGCCCCACCATCACGGTTCCCTCGAGACGAAACTAGTCATAAGTTCCCAGGGTTGTCACGCAGGTAGCCCCGGGGGCCAAGCCCGGGAGGAAGTCAAAAGGGAACTGGCGGAGTCGACGAGCAACTGTTGATCGAAAAGACAGGGAACTATTGGGAAAGCGACATTGAAGCTTACCTTAAGAATAGCGTAGCTACTTTGACACCTCAAACACAGGTCAGAAGGTAATTATCGCCGAACTGATCAAAACCATAGCCGTGTTCTGTCAATAAGGAAGTTGCATTCCCACAAGTGCACGCCTAGAGTTAATCACTTCAAAGTTCAGGCATCTCTTACGCAGGTAAGCCTCACGTCTCATTCACCCTCTTGTCCTCCTCTTCGCTTCGTCTTTTTCTTCTCCATCTTCTATCACTACAACTACCACTACTCAGCCCGCACACTTGGCCCCGCCAGCACATGCGTGCGGTCGGCTTCCTCATTGGGGTCGCCATCGTCCATCTCCACAGTCGACATCTTCACCGTCCCAGTGGTCTCCACCTTCACCATCTCGGTGGCCGCCACCTTCACTGCTTCGCCCACGTGTGCGCAGTCGCCAGCTGCTCGCGCACGAGCCATCGCTAATTGTTTGTGCTGGAAGTGTTCCCCGTCATTCCATGTGCTAGAATTACCCGTGTCTCAATTCCAGCAGAGAGGTAGTGTTTGCGCCTGGGGATGAATCTGCCTACAACATCGGGCGGGTTCATTGAGGTAAGTCGGACAAAAGTAGAAAGAACAAAAGATAAAAGAAATTGTCTAAGAGTAACGAGAAAAAATAAATAACTAGAAAAAATAGAGAAAGGTATATTAATAAAATCTAACCATTAATAACTCGGGATTTGACATCTGTCGGGCCCCTGTTTCAACGGGGCGTACAAACGATTTAAACTAGCCAAACTAAATTATTGAAAAGCAGGTTGCGGGGGCGAAACCCACGCACTGCAATGCCCTGAGGCTGAGTTCGGACTCTTGAAATTGAGAAAAAAGAAGCTAGCCCAACGGCGAATGGGTTTCGATACCTCACTCTGTCATATCCAAGTCTACTAGGCTAGCTCCTACCACATATAAGGAAGGAGTTGGCCCTGCCATAAGGAAAGTTCTGGTGGCCTTGCTTTTAGGAAGACTAGACCTAACCTTTCTTTTTCTGTTTTTTCCCATAGTCGTCTCGGGACTCTCGGCCACTTGGCCCAGGCCTTTACTAATTCTTAAACCACCAGTACTTCCTAAAGTTGTGCCGGTTAACGCTACGCGATTTTAAGAAACGTACGGGCCACTACAGGAGCGCCCAAATTCATCCAACTAGAAATGATTCTACTCTATTTTTTTCCGCGGCCGATAGTTGGGCCAAGTACTGGTGGTTTAACCCCCCCCTGTTTCGGACACATGGCAGCATAAACTTGGCCAGGGCCTATTATCGTGTGCACGCGCCGCCATTTCACTTGTGTCGGCGAACATATGTCCTAACGATCCCAGATCGGGTACATTTCAAATGACATCGTGCTGCAGGCTTGCTGACACTTAACTCTTAGTTGTATATGTTCATTCCGTTTGACAATTAAAAAAAAAAAAAAAAAAAAAAAAAAAAAAAAAAGACAATATACCTCCTAGTAACCCTGGCCCATACCGCCCAAAAGATTAATAATAATAATAATAATAATTTATATTTTATATTTTAAATTTGGTAAAGATTTTTTTTTTTTTTTTTTATCTTTCTATATTCTTCTCTCAACTTCTGTTTCTTTTACCTTCCACTACCTACTCCTAAGACTATCTAGAGGGGACCCCTGCGAGCATAGTTTCCTCTCTCTGTGAAGGGGAGATTTCATGTTGCCCCTAGCCCCTAATGGTTAGGGTATAGGGTTGGGGCCGCCAGTGGGGGTCTGGCTAACACAAAGACCGAGACCTGCCAGTAGCTGTGCCTCCCTTTATCATTGTCCCCCACCCTTCATCGAGTAGCAGCAGAGGCTATGGCGAACACTCTCCCACACACCACACACAACCCGCTCGCGCTCACACTCACACCCGTGTTGGTCATAGACCCCGCTAATACCGATCAGGGGTATCCAGATGTGACCCTGAGGCAAAAGTTGTTCAGTTTATTTTTCTGCATAAAGCCTTGGGTGCGTATTCAAATAAGGAAGAACACCTTGCCATCATGAAAACACCTATAGTTTTTTTTCGGATTTTTTGGATTTTTTTTTTTTTTGCTGGGACCCTCCCTTGTCCTTGCACGGGCTGGCCACCCGGGACCCGGGCGGCCCGGCTGGTAGCCTAGGTTCTGACTGGCCCCCTGCTGGTAATCGGCACCGCTATTCTGTCAAATGTACAAACATGGGTTTGTCTGCTCTTATCAGCACCCCTACCACCACCGCGGGTTGTTCTTTAAAAAAAAAAAAAAACATGGGTTTATACCCTTGTAACTTGTAAGGGTATTAGGCCCAACACCACCACTACTCCCGCTCCTCCTCCCCTTGAATATGGAATGAATCTTCAGCTGGAACATGGGGAGATACACGGCCTTATT